GGTAAGATGCATTTGTGTGAGCATTTGGGGAAATATTTATGCTTTTACTTCTGTATTTATGAATTGTGTTTTGAATTTACGAATCAGATTTTGTAAATGTAAATTGTGCTGTGCATTTATGAATTTTGTTTTAAAAACGTGTTATTTTTGAGGCTGATCTATCTCCATATCAGGGGCGGATTTAGTGATTTGGGGGCCCCAGGCAAAATACAGGAATGGGGCCCTATACAATTTCACACATTTACAACCTTGAGGTTGCTTTCAATGTTGCTCGCTGCTGCACGACCGTGTCCCATAGTTGTGTCTAATCTTTTAGATTTTTCATGTACATGTTATAAATAAAGGATTTCTTTAATGTTGTAAATCCCTTGTTCACATTTAAACAGTTAATTTTTTTCAGTTTTTTTTTTTTCGTTTTAATTTTTCTGGATGATTATATTAAATTTGAACAAAAAACATGTATAATTAATTAAAATCATGAATCTTGTTTAATTTAACAGCAGTTTAGGCCTATTAAAGGTTTAACAAAAATTACATTCTTAGGGCCCAAATTCTGCGCTTTCCATTTAAATTTTTCTGTATTCCATTTGAATGGTTTAATCAAAAACATATCTAAATAATTGAATTCATGAAAACAATTGAATGCGCATCTCGCATATAAAAAGCATTTTAGGGGGCCCTTGGCTTTTGGGGACCCAAGGCGGTCGCCTACCTTTGCCTAATGGTTAAGTCCGGCTCTGATTAGTGTTATAGTTTCATAAAAATAGTAGCGGTCTTCTTAACAACTTCTGCAATGGAGCTATGAAGACAATTGAATTATTTACACTTATTATATACATTGCTTTTTTTAAGTTAATCAATTGATGTGCATTAGATGATGAATTGAACAGTCACCTCTTGTAGGTTATGATTTAGTAATCAGAAAAGAATCAATGAAGAATTATGAGAGGTTATGCTATTACACATACATTTCTAACATGTAAATTATTGAAGCCAAATACTTACATTTCCCCAAGCTGTTTAGCTGTAGTGCAGTATTCATAGGCTTAATCATGAAGCGTACAGTGGCCCCACTTTTAAAGTCGGCATGAAACTGGAAGTTGCGATTTGTCTTTTCTTCTCTACTGTGACTAGGGTTGGGTATCGAAAACCGGTTCCATTTTAGAACCGGTTCCAAATTTCCAAGAACCGGGTATTCGATAAGACTCGTGCATTTCGATTCTGCTTAACGATTCCTGCGTTCGCATTTTAATGTAATTAAAAACTATTTAAGTGCAAGAACGGAAAGAACTTGCACCCTGTTTGCGTGCAGCACACATGAAGCGCAAGCGCGAGAACAGAGGTTGTAGTGATGTCCGGTTCGCGAACGAATCGTTCGATTTAACCGGTTCTTCTTAGTGAACCGGTTGAACCAGTTCACCAAATCGGACTGAATCATTTGAAACGGTTCACGTCTCCAGTAAGCATTAATCCCCAAATTACTTAAGTTATTCACTTTTTTTAACATGGCTGACACTCCCTCTGAGTCGAAATAAACCAATATCCCGGAGTAATTTATTTATTCAAACAGTACACTGACTGAACTGCTGTGAAGAGAGAAATGAAGATGAACACGAGCAGAGCAGCCGGATAACGAACATACAAAGCCCACTGCTGGAGCGGTTGCATCGGTTTTCGGATCACCAGTACACACTGAACCGAGAACCGTTTCTTTCGGACACGTCCGATTTGAGAACCGATGAGCTGATGATACTGCGCATGCATACTGTGCATGCGTGTAATTTTTCAAGAGGACGAAAAGCATGCTATCCAAGTATTTTGTTAAAAATCAGATAGTGTGATATAGATATATTTTATTTTACTTTTTTTAAAAAGATGAATGTATCTAATCTGTGTACTTTGTTCAGTTGAAGATTATGTTAGGTTATAGGCCAAAGGGGTTTGTCAGGGAAGTTGGATAATAATTAAGACTCCATGTTTGATAGGAATAAGGGATGATTTATGAAATACCTGTGCTGTAATTAATTATATACAGTGGGTACGGAAAGTATTCAGACCCCCTTAAGTTGCACAGAAGTGGTCCGCAGGTGTGCATGCATGACCAAAATAAAGAAATGTGCGGTGTAAATAAGTTCAGACCGCCCATTTGCGTTCCGACAGGGTTGAAAGCTGTTAAAGCCAAATTACCATTTTAGATCAACAAACTGTAATACTGTTTAAGATTTCTATTCTAACTGAAAGCATAAATCTAGGCTATCCACCGTCATTTCAAAGCACAATGCAAAACTGTGACATTTCACATTTCATTCACCGACACGTTTCAGTCGGCAGAGCTAAACCTGGCAGGCACATACTTACTTGCCGGCAACCCGACAAAATAAAAGCTTGCTAATTTAAAATTTAAAAATGATGAAAATTCATTTATAAAAAAAGTACATATTAGCATTTTAATTTAAAGTTTATTATAAAATAATTGTATTTTTTTTTAATACTCCCTTTTTATTTTAAATAATAATATTATCACACTTTATTATTTTATTTTATTCTATTATTATTATTATTATTTTTAACTTACATAAAGTGCAATAATATTATCATCACTATTATAAATTACTTTTTTATTGTTATATTTAATGGGTCACAGTATGTGCTGTGTGAGGACCAAACCAAATCTCCAGGTGCTCTTATGAGAACCAGGCTGAAAAACTATACATTATTTTAAAGACACCAGTCTATATCTTGATTTGATAAAGTGTACAACCCAACTTTGATTTATTCATCCATATTTTGCCAAATTTCACTACATTCCATGTTATACCATACATTTTTATCACTGGACAGAAATTATAGCTGAATGCTGTGCTGAAATATTGTTTGTATAGTGTTATAAAAATAACGGTTCATCATTTTGGGTTGTAAATAGAATTTCAGTTAAACTTAAAATCTACAATGTTGACTGTAATTTTACTTTACATGTTAAGCATGGTTTCTCTTTCTAATTTTGATCTCAGTCCCACCTCAGCCAGAGCATCCACAGCTCTTTACACTCTCTGGACGCAGACACCCCGGGCCGCCCGGACGGCTCTGACCCTTATAAGGATGGGCTTCGGAGGGTGCAGTCCACCGACAGCCTGGGTTCTTCAGGAGGGGCCCTACAGCCTCACGGGCTCGGAGGACACAACAACAAGGCCAAGTCAGCCAGCCAGCTGGACGAGTCTGACTTTGGTCCTCTAGTGGGGGCAGACTGTGGGGGCTTTGACAGCAGGGACACCTCCTCCATATCCTCCCTCCAGCCAGGACACTTTCTCCTCACCAAGGACCAGGAGAAGGCCATTAAGGCCATGACCCCAGAGCAGGAGGAAACAGCATCACTTCTGTCCAGCATCTCTCATACTGCTGATACGGCTTACCTGCCTCCATCTGGCTACCGACTGGTCAGCGAGAGCGAGTGGAATCTGCTGCAGCAACAGGTCAGATAGTAGATGCTTTTTAGGGGGCGTTTTTGTTTATTTCGATCACAATTTATTTTAAGATCCAGTTCTCGCTATTAACAAACCATTAACTATGACTATGCCTCAAAACTCATAATTTGCTGCTTGATAATAGTTAGTAAGCTAGTTGTTAAGTTTAGTTATTGGGTAGGTTTAGGGATGTAGAATATGGTCTCTAATAAACAGCCAATATGTTAATAATAGGCATGCTAATAAGCAACTAGTTAATAGTGAGAATTGGCCAAATACCACAGCAAAAACTAGTAGCATATAGGGATGTAACGATTCACTCAACTCACGATGCGATGCAATTCAATTCACAATACTGATTTCACAATACAATTTTCTCACAATTTTTCTTTTTAACAAAATTTGATTTAAGACAAATTATAAATGAAAAGGTGTCCTTTTATTATTTCCCCAACAAAATGCTGCACATTTTTTTGTGAAATTGAAATAAGTCAAATAATAAAACTAACTTGAAATTTAAACAAATTCCAAATCAAATAATTAAATAATACAAATAAAAAAAATATCTTTATATAAACAAACTAAGGCTTTGGCTGTGCTTTTTTTTTCATTTAAAATCAGAGGCAACCACTGCATTTTAATCATGATCCAAACAAAGATGTTAAATACATGTTTAGATTGCAATGAGATTGTATAATTTCGAAATTTGAAGCAAAAACAGAATGGTCTGGTTTTAGCTTTGTGAATGAGATGCAAATGTCACTCTCTGACAGCAGGTGGCGCTTATGAAACAGCAGGTATTTATAGGCTGCTGCCCCGTTAAGACCGAATGCACGGATCCAATATAATGATGCACTTGAGATTTCTTTCACCACTGTTTACATTCGCTTAAGACATAACTGACTGTGTTTACGAGAATACTTGCCGAGACAGTGATTTTGAGATAATTTTGTGTGTATGTGTAATTACATATTTGCATTCAGATGTAAGGATATGTGAAGGAGGAATCAATTCTGTGTACGCACATTGTCTGAAACGCGGCTCTCTGTGCGCATTTTGAATGAGTGTACGCAGCTCCGAATGCGTGTGAATGGTTTAAAACACTTGAATGTTTAAATCGGCAAGACTTAAAAACACGTGCAAACGATCAACTATGATCCGTTTTACCCCTACATGCTAGTGAACAACGCAAATCAAGGAATTCATTTTATATGTTCTAGATAGCCCGTCGGGCAGGGCGGTGATACATTTTGGTAGCCCGAATGGAAAACACAATAGCCCCGGGACGTCGGGCTAGCAATTTTGCTATCCCTGATACAGAAACAAGGAAATCACTCACTGCTCGATTGAATAGCTTTTGTAACTTTAATAAAGAATAATCTTTCATTTATACAGTAAAATATGCAATGCTATTTTACATTTGATTACTTTATTCAATTTCTGTACATAAAAACTAATGCTAGAAAAAAACCTGAAAATCACTATTTATTTTATATGTATCTTACCTCTATTGTATTTATTTGTGTTGTTGCTTGTGGTTAGATCGATTATTCTTATTTTCTTTATTTTTATTTGACAGTATAGTCTTTCCCTAAATATAGCACATACGAACCGTACCGAAACCGTGACTCTAATGGAAAACACAATAGCCCCGGGACGTCGGGCTAGCAATTTTGCTATCCCTGATACAGAAACAAGGAAATCACTCACTGCTCGATTGAATAGCTTTTGTAACTTTAATAAAGAATAATCTTTCATTTATACAGTAAAATATGCAATGCTATTTTACATTTGATTACTTTATTCAATTTCTGTACATAAAAACTAATGCTAGAAAAAAACCTGAAAATCACTATTTATTTTATATGTATCTTACCTCTATTGTATTTATTTGTGTTGTTGCTTGTGGTTAGATCGATTATTCTTATTTTCTTTATTTTTATTTGACAGTATAGTCTTTCCCTAAATATAGCACATACGAACCGTACCGAAACCGTGACTCTAAAACCGTGATACAAACCGAACCGAGTAAGTTGAACCGTTCCACCCCTACCAGCCATATAAATGCAAGGCAGTAAGCTCATTGACTGCATATGCAGCATGAACCAATCAGCTTGTGCCAAGTCGTTTAACTCTCTGAATATCATCAGTTGCATTAACAACCAGTCAGCCTGCGCCATCTAGAGTTTCATGACTGAACTATATATTTAAACTTAGATTTGTGGATAGGGTTAGCAACCCGTCAGCCTGTGCCATCTAGAGTTTCATGACTGAACTATATATATTTGGAACGCCATATTATCATTTTGATTGCAATATTTTTGTACTACGTGGTATTTATACTGTGTGCAGTATGTTTTTTTTTAATGTATGATCTACCACAGTGGTTCTCAAACCTGTCTTGGAGTACCCCCAGCCCTGCACATTTTGTATGTCTCCCTCATCTATCACACCTGATTCAGCTCATTAGTGGAGACTGCAAGACCTGAAGTGGGTGTGAGAACCACTGATCTACCACATATGCTTTTATATAGCCATTAGACGCCTACAGTACAACCATTGTCCAATTCCATGAACAAATTACTCTTCTGAGCCTATCTTTTAAGGGAATCAGAAACATACAATGCAACCAGTGTATTGGTAGTTCAGTTACCAAACAAAATGAATCTTTCGAGCTGGTTCTTTTTAGTAAATCAGAAACTTACAGTGGCTACATTTACATGCAACCAAATAATCAGTTTGTAATCGGATTGACGGCTCAATCGGACTGAAAAGCCTTCATGTAAACACCTTAATCGATCCGATTGAGCTCGATCGGAATGAAATTTCGATCAGATTGAAGGGGGTGGTTTATTCCTTTTCTAATACGATTGAGAGTGCATGTAAACACTTGATCGGTTTGAACCCCGAAACTGAAAGGACTGCGCATGTGCAATGACGCAGAAATGGCCTAATGATGTATGACGCGCGGAACGAACGGCTCTTCCTTTTGAATAAAGTGTTGTATAAATGTGTGTCCTGTCATTATAAAACTCTCCTTTCACTCGGCAACTGTGAAGTGGAGCAGGACAACTTCCCACCAGTCCTTGTTTTGGATTCTCATCCACGGGCAACCTGTTTTGGGTGTGGGGAGGGCATTTTTACTGCGTGATAAATATGAGCAGCCCAGCAGAGTGGTTTATATGTATATTTATCCATAAATGCTGTAAAAAAAAAAAAGAAACCATGTAGGAGGGGGGTTATTATGTGCAAACAGTGAGAAACTTTATATTTGTGGAGTGTGCGCATGTAAAAAAAAATTAAATTCAGTTTTGAAGCTTGTGACATATAAACGCGCACATCAACCCGATCACTTTATTTAGCGTTCATGTAAACACTACATTCAGATCGAATTCAGTCAGATTGAACCAAAAATTGTGCATGTGAACGTAGCCAGTGAAACCATAGCCAGTTCTTTTAAGCTCAGAAGTAGTGTTGCTTTCGTCAACGAAAATTATGACTAAATATAGTCGTCAACGAACCTTTATCACGTGACGAGACGAGACGAAAATGCTGGTCATGTGACGATGACGATAATTAAATGTACAATGCAATATCGTTGACGAATAAAAACGAGACGAAATGTGGCTTACAAAATAAAAACTGTTAAAATGTCTCTTCATTTTCGTTGACCAAAACGAGATGAAACGAAATGTTATAACGTTATTTCGTCTCGTTATTATTATTATTTTGCAGTATTTCTGTTTCCTGTGTGTCGCTTCAGCGGCTGCATCAGGTCGCACTGCGCAGACGCAGGCGACGTCACTTCCTCAAGCCCCACTCGCCGCATTATTTAGAGCAGTGTTTCCCAACCGGGGTCTGTCGAGAGCAGGGGTGCTGTGTAAAAAAATCCTTTTTTTAATATTTTTAAATCGCTAAAATGTTCAAAAAAGCAGCTATTATATAATATCCATTTCTAATGCCGCCAAGAATAATTAGAGATGCACAGAAATTCCGGCTGCCGAAAATGAGGTCACCGCTCAGGATTCACTTGTGTGTGTGTGTGTGTGTGTGTGCGTGTGTGTTATCCGCTCTATGCGTGTGTGTATTATCCATAGACTGTATGGTATTATCCCGCTCTGTGTGTGTGTGTGTGTGTTATCCCGCTCTATGCGCGCGGCCCATGTGAGTGCTCCATTCATGCTCATTGGAACAGCAAAGTCCACTCAAAAATCAAGCTGACAGGAAACATCAATGTAGTACAGTATTGTTTCTGTCTGCAATAGCTATTTAAATTTGTGTGTGTGTGTACTTCTAACATGTTTGGTTGGTAAAATAAATGTTGTAAATTCAAATCAGAGCGTCTTCCGTGTCTGGAATGGATGTATTCTTGAGTCTATAAGGTAACAATAATATAATAAGATAACCTTGTTTGAAATGGGTTTGGCTAAAATAAAATGTTGGTTTCGTCTATACTACTAGGTACTTATACTATATTGACTGGGTTAAATAGAATTGCATTAGACTAGAATACAATTTTCATTGACTAAAACTAGACTAAATGTCATCAGTTTTCGTCGACTAAAACTAGACTAAAATGCTCAGACTTTTAGTCGACTAAAACTTGACTAGACTAAAAAGAGTATGAACGTGACTAAAACTAATAAAAACTAAAATGACAGTTTCACACAAAGACTAAACTAAAACTAAAATTAAAACAGGCTGCCAAAAACAACACTACTCAGAAGTTCAAATCAGTGTAATGAATCCCTCACTGAATCACTAAATCAGTCAGAGGTTACTGATTCATCATCTGACTCACTGAAATATAAGTTGCTATTGTTTCCACTAATGTCCATTTCAGAATGAAGTTTTGTAAAACTTAAATCTGTATCATTACTGAGGGATATCCCTTCACTGCAAAAAAACGATTTCTGTAGGACATACAGAACTGTATCCCACAATGCAATGCACTTTACATTTGCATTTTGATGAATGATCTGTGTCAAAAATTCATGATTTTTAATCATTTTAACTCTGTTTGATAACCGGACACTGCTTGTTTAAACATGCAATGTAACAAGGTCATGTGACAACATGCTTTCATAATACTTGTTTGTTTTTGGTGTGGTTTCATCCCAGTTGAAGAACGCTGGAAGGAAGTTGGGGCGGCGATGTGATATGTGCTCTAATTATGAAAAACAGCTGCAGGTCATTCAGGGACAAGAGGCCGAGACACGAGATCAGGTTTGTTTTTTATGCTACTAATATCACGTACAAGGCCAATAATTAAATGATTCAAAAGGACAGTCTGTAGTAATTGTTACAATGTGAACTTCCTTTGCCTTTAGGTTAAAAAGCTTCAGGCCATGTTGCGGCAGTCGAACGATCAGCTTGAGCGGATGATGAATGAGAGACAGGAGTTAGAGGACTCTGTCAAACAGGCCAATGAGGAAACTACTGCCAAGGTAAAGCTCATCTCTCTGATAGATTTGATGGAAAAACAAATCTGTTGACAGGTTAAACCTGGATGGGTTCACATGCTAATTGGAGCATCATATATAGCGAGGAAACTGCAGTAATGTTACATCTTTTTAATATTTCCTCATATCAGCAAGATAACAGTTATGTGCTAAGCCCTAAGGCTGCATAATAATCAAAATGGAATATCATAAGCCACAAAACTTTTTTATTTTGGGGTCATACTTTATTTTAAAGGGGTCATATGATGTGATTTAAATTTTTCCTTTCTCTTTGGAGTGTTACAAGCTCTTGGTGCATAAAGAAGATCTGTAAAGTTGCAAAGACTAAAGTCTCAAATCCAAAGAGATACTCTTTATAAAAGTTAAGAGTCAACCACGCCTACCTAAAACGGCTCGTTCTAACACGCCCCCACATATCTACGTCACGATCTGGGAAGATTTGCGAATACTGTTACAGAGCACATATATATTTTGCAATTTGTGTGTGCATATTCTAATTTATTTGATTAATGGACCCTTTTCATAAACAGCGAAGACACATTTTCACAGTTTTTAATATCATAAATCAATTTTTTTTAGTATTTTTATTTAAATTAATGTCCATATAACCAAGCGGCAACCTCTCTCTTTGAAACCAACACGGAAGTGACTAAAACTGCAATTCATCGACTGGCCGCTAGAGGCTTGCTCCAAAAGGGAGTCAGTCCCATAGACCTCCCATGTTAAAATACCTAACTTTACAGCAGAAATTTTTTTTTTCCAGTCTGGTACAAAAAGTGGTTTTGGTCTATATAGGTAATTTTTTCCCTTCATGACAACAGTGAGGGGGGTGAATTTTTTTTTTATAACTCATCCGTTTAAATGATATATTAAGCCTTAAATGTCTGCATAATTAAGGGCGTGGCCACTTGAGTGACCGGTGGGCTGCCGCTCTGCTCCAGAGTGTGAAACTCGCTAGACTGTGGCTTTAAAGATTTGTATTTGTCCAGAAAAACTGATTATGGGTAGGACACTGGAAATTTGGCAATTAGATGTTTTAATGAAAATGATCTCAAACTTGATTTTTACCGCTATTTTGAAGTTATTGTAGGTACTTTGCCTTTGCACTGTCTGCAAAAAGTGAGATGTCACGCCAAGATAAAAGGCAGTAACTTCCACATTATATACAATATTTGGGTGCTGATCACCATTTACAGAATCATTATAGTAACATCTGTATAAAATCTAGTGATCATTGGCTAGGCTATAACATATAGTAATGTGATTTAAAAAACATTTCTGACCGTAACAACCAAAAGTTAAACGATACCGTTTTGCAACCAATTTATTTGCAGTGTTCACTAACATTAAAGGATGCTAGACATACTTAGCCTATTGTTTTTACATCGAACTGAATGAAAATAGCCTAACCTATAAGACCGACTTGTGGATTGATGTGAACGCCAGCTGTAATAATGCTCAGAATGATTGTGAATTTAACATCTCCGATGACGTTCATTGCAATGGATTTTATCAAGTTACAAGAAAAGGTAGGAAAAGGATTGAATTGCTAACAGTAACTGACTTTATATGATACGCTGTCACGGCATTCGATTCTTCACACTTACAGAAGTGGGCAGCCCCAGGCTGACAGCTGGCACTGAGTGAATAATCTACATTATAAAAAGAAAAAAAAGCTTTAAAGATTATTTGTGATTAATTATTGTTGCCAAGTTATCTAGTCGTTGCTTGTTTACAGTGCTTTGTTATATGGAGCAGTTTGTTAGATCACGATCTATCTAATTTGTTTGTTTAATGAAGTGCCGACAGATATATGAAAGTACACAAGTTACACCGTAATTTAAACGCGGCAGACTTTAATGGACAGTAAAACAAAGGCAGAATACCATATAACTCCAGGCTGGCACAGTAATATTGACGAAGGGCTAAACAAATGCAGTTCTAAAACAAAGTCAAAGAGAGGTAACTGATGATATACTGTGTTCTGCCTTTGTATCTCTGGGGCTTTTCTCCAAGATACTTATACACATGATAAAGGAAGCCATGAATGTCCCAAAATTATCAATAACTCATTTTTGACCAAAAACGGAAGTTATGGTGTTGTCTGAATATGGTAGAATACTGTTACAGAGCACATATATATTTTGCAATTTGTGTGTGCATATTCTAATTTATTTGATTAATGGACCCTTTTCATAAACAGCGAAGACACATTTTCACAGTTTTTAATATCATAAATCTATTTTTTTTTTGTATTTTTATTTAAATTAATGTCCATATAACCAAGCGGCAACCTCTCTCTTTGAAACCAACACGGAAGTGACTAAAACTGCAATTCATCGACTGGCCGCTAGAGGCTTGCTCCAAAAGGGAGTCAGTCCCATAGACCTCCCATGTTAAAATACCTGACTTTACAGCAGAAAAAAAATGTTTCCAGTCTGGTACAAAAAGTGGTTTTGGTCTATATAGGTAATTTTTTCCCTTCATGACAACAGTGAGGGGGGTGAATTTTTTTTTATAACTCATCCGTTTAAATGATATATTAAGCCTTAAATGTCTGCATAATTAAGGGCGTGGCCACTTGAGTGACCGGTGGGCTGCCGCTCTGCTCCAGAGTGTGAAACTCGCTAGACTGTGGCTTTAAAGATTTGTATTTGTCCAGAAAAATTGATTATGGGTAGGACACTGGAAATCTGGCAATTAGATGTTTTAATGAAAATGATCTCAAACTTGATTTTTACCGCTATTTTGAAGTTATTGTAGGTACTTTGCCTTTGCACTGTCTGCAAGGCTTGCTCCAAAAGGGAGTCAGTCCCATAGACCTCCCATGTTAAAATACCTGACTTTACAGCAGAAAAAAAATGTTTCCAGTCTGGTACAAAAAGTGGTTTTGGTCTATATAGGTAATTTTTTCCCTTCATGACAACAGTGAGGGGGGTGAATTTTTTTTTATAACTCATCCGTTTAAATGATATATTAAGCCTTAAATGTCTGCATAATTAAGGGCGTGGCCACTTGAGTGACCGGTGGGCTGCCGCTCTGCTCCAGAGTGTGAAACTCGCTAGACTGTGGCTTTAAAGATTTGTATTTGTCCAGAAAAACTGATTATGGGTAGGACACTGGAAATTTGGCAATTAGATGTTTTAATGAAAATGATCTCAAACTTGATTTTTACCGCTATTTTGAAGTTATTGTAGGTACTTTGCCTTTGCACTGTCTGCAAAAAGTGAGATGTCACGCCAAGATAAAAGGCAGTAACTTCCACATTATATACAATATTTGGGTGCTGATCACCATTTACAGAATCATTATAGTAACATCTGTATAAAATCTAGTGATCATTGGCTAGGCTATAACATATAGTAATGTGATTTAAAAAACATTTCTGACCGTAACAACCAAAAGTTAAACGATACCGTTTTGCAACCAATTTATTTGCAGTGTTCACTAACATTAAAGGATGCTAGACATACTTAGCCTATTGTTTTTACATCGAACTGAATGAAAATAGCCTAACCTATAAGACCGACTTGTGGATTGATGTGAACGCCAGCTGTAATAATGCTCAGAATGATTGTGAATTTAACATCTCCGATGACGTTCATTGCAATGGATTTTATCAAGTTACAAGAAAAGGTAGGAAAAGGATTGAATTGCTAACAGTAACTGACTTTATATGATACGCTGTCACGGCATTCGATTCTTCACACTTACAGAAGTGGGCAGCCCCAGGCTGACAGCTGGCACTGAGTGAATAATCTACATTATAAAAAGAAAAAAAAGCTTTAAAGATTATTTGTGATTAATTATTGTTGCCAAGTTATCTAGTCGTTGCTTGTTTACAGTGCTTTGTTATATGGAGCAGTTTGTTAGATCACGATCTATCTAATTTGTTTGTTTAATGAAGTGCCGACAGATATATGAAAGTACACAAGTTACACCGTAATTTAAACGCGGCAGACTTTAATGGACAGTAAAACAAAGGCAGAATACCATATAACTCCAGGCTGGCACAGTAATATTGACGAAGGGCTAAACAAATGCAGTTCTAAAACAAAGTCAAAGAGAGGTAACTGATGATATACTGTGTTCTGCCTTTGTATCTCTGGGGCTTTTCTCCAAGATACTTATACACATGATAAAGGAAGCCATGAATGTCCCAAAATTATCAATAACTCATTTTTGACCAAAAACGGAAGTTATGGTGTTGTCTTTGCATGGCAGCACTGCTGTCACAATAGAGTGGGGGAACTATGACGTCGCTTTGTAGGTGGATGGGCTGTTAGCATTGCGCTGGTTCCCTCGACAAAAAGTCAATAGGATTTTTCAATAGGTTTTTGGATTATCACAAAAAAACTAAATAAATTATAATTGGATTATCACAAAAAAATAAATAAAAGCGCCAGAACCTAAAAGCTAAACTTGGGCTATAAACAAACTACACCACCACTGTCGCTCACCTTCATCGTCACCACCACCATGCTTCCCACAACTTTTCAAACTTATTTTTAACACGTTCAGTGAAAAGAATTTACCCTGTATATGAATTTTAACCCATGCTACATGAACCTTTTCATATAAACTGGAATAAATACAAAACTAAAACTGAAATTAGATATTATTAATAAATAGTATAGTGAATAAATGAGAAAATCACAACTATAGGACACATGAAAGCACGTATTTGTGCACAGGTGCATTAAAAGTCAATAAATCCTTGATTAATATGAACATTTTAATTTAGTTAAGTTCTAGTGCATTTAATCTATTAAATAACAGCAGAGTGAGCGAATTTTTGGATCTAGTTAGAGATTAAATTTATTTTAGTGAATAAAGTACCACATTTCAGCTATCGTTTTGTTTGGGTGGATACACAATTTTATTTTATCCTTGCTTTTAGAAAATCCTCAATCTATAATAGCTTCATGTGGCTGTAAACACTTAATTTTAACGTGGCTTTAAGCACTATGCATCGTTAAAGTTTC